GCTATCCAACTATCTTTTATATCTCCTTTTACAATTTTTCTTTTTTCTCTCCTTTTATTTTTCCCCCCAAAAAGGCCTTCTTTTAGCAGATTCATGTGTGGGGTGTTTTTTTTTTTTTTTCTTCCACCCCCGCCTTCTCTTAGTTTTTGTTTTTGCCCAAATCTGGAGACTCCCTGTTGCAGTGTGTCTCTGCCTTGCTTGCTTTGCTGTAAAGCTCTCATCTCGGATCTGATGTCGAGAGCCAAAGCTGTAGATGAGCCAGGAAAGGCAGGTGCAAGGTGAAGGACTGTGCTCCTCTTGTTTTTGGAGGTGTCACCATTCCTCTGTCTATGCTTTTGGCTCCTGCCTTGCTGTTTCACTTTGCACAAACTGTTTGGACCCCTTGAGACTTTATCGTGATGATGACGATACTGGAGCCAGAGGTGACGTTCCTGGGCCTGGCCTGGCTTTGTTCCCCTTTGCAGGGGCTGGCGTGTGCCTGAAGGGGCTCGGCTGGCAGAGTCAGAACTGGGGCTGGGCTGAGTTCAGGCATCAGCTTCATATATGGGGCAATATCTTCACATATATCAACATACAGTAAAATTCCTAGTCTTGCAAAAAAATCCTTTGCTGAAATAAAGTGGTGGGCTTATGAGTCACCAACAGTAGTTTGGACTGTGTCAGTCCCTGCAGTGTTAAAGTTGAATTGGTTTCTTTTGGGAGGGTATCTTTTTGATTAGAATATAAGTTACTGCATTTATTTGTTTGAACTTCCGTGGTTTACAGTCTTTTGATGAACTTTTTCGCAGGTGAATCTTGGCAGTGACGCAGAGAGGAAGATCTGTGTCATAGATGAGATTGGTAAAATGGAGCTCTTCAGCCAGCCCTTCGTTCAAGCCGTTCGTCAAACGCTGACCAGTTCAGGGACTGTGATACTTGGGACTATCCCAGTACCTAAAGGAAAGCCCCTGGATCTTGTTGAAGAAATAAGAAGCAGAAAAGATGTTAAAGTGTTCAATGTGAGTAGTATTACTTCTTCTTAAAGAGCCYTTTGTTCTAGGGTGCAGGTTTGTATTTGGCTCTGTTTAAAAACTAATTGTTGCCACCACTGGATAGTTGCGGTTAGTTTGCATGAAGTTAGTTTTGTAGTTTCCATTCGGTTCTTAATGGGCAGGTGTTCGCCTTACTTAAAATAAAATCCCTGTCGGCACTTACTGTAGCAGTTTTACACAGCTGGCTTAGCTTGTGAGGGCTCTAGAAGTAATGATATGGTGGTTTTTAAAGGTTTTCTTGCTGTAGTGTTATTGCCACCTAAGTATTCAATGTTCCTAAGAGTTAAATCTCTTAAAGCAGTCAGATTTTTGTGCAGACTGCCTGGCAGAAATACTACCGGTAATCATATACAAGGCGAGGAGAAAAAAAGAGAAGGGAGGTTCAATTTGCAGCAATGACTGCTAGGAGAAAGAAGCTTCATAAACGGAACGTGCTCTCTCTGGAGTCAGTGGAGCAGTTTTGGCATTTATTGTATTATTTTTACAGACTTTGTTTTCAGGGTGTTAGTGCCTTTCTGATCATCTGGGGAGTTCTGCAAACGTCACCCAGCAGAACAGAGCTTGTTCGCAGCCGTTCAGGCTGCAGACGTGCTTAAGGGTCTGTCGGGGTGCTGGATGCTTTACAAAAACAGGCTAAGTACTGCTCACGGCCCTTCAGTTTATTTTTCTGCGTGATGTCTCTTGTTTCTAGTGGAAAACAAAGCTAAGCATCCCAAATGGAATTTTCATATGTAAGAGTTACGAATTGAGCAAGTGGRAAGTTGCAGTCCAGGCTTCCTAATAGAGGTAATGTGCTTTAAAGCAGTACTGCAGCCTGCTCTTTAGCAGGAGCAGATCCCAGGGAAAATGACTGTTTTGTGATCTGCGTGAAAGAGGAAGGAACAGACGGTATTTGAACAGTTTCATACTGAAAGGTCTTATTTACAGCAGACAATGCAAAGTCTCCTCCTTGTTAAATTTCCTTTTCAAAATGAGATGGGCAAAATTGCAGTTCTCAGAAAGAYCCATCCAGCTTCCTTTTAGCTGGTGGCCCCGTCTTTGTCTTAAATTTCTGGTTTTGAAGCTCAGTGACTCTTCAGGATCACTGTTGAGCTACACGCTGAAGCCCGCTTGGGAGCAAAGGCTCGGGAAGACGACGTTCCCGTGCCGTGAGATCCCATAGGGCCTGAGACGGGTTCCCGGGATGCCGGGAGCTGCGGGCCTGAAGCGCAGCCGGCTGGTGGCTGCCGTGGGCTCCGGTGCAGCCCTGGTTGCAGCCTGCCCTGGCTTCGCTGCAGAGAGCTCTCTGGTTTGTGCTGCCGAGATGAGGACGTTTCTCCACGTAAATATGGAGAGTTCCCCGGTGAATCCCTTAGCCGGGAGCGCGGGTGTGGAATTTGTGACAGATTGCAGTAATTCCCAGGCAGCAGCGAGCTGCTCTGCTCAAGCGCTGTGCAGGAGAGCGTCTGGCCCCATTGCTGCGGCGACGCTCGCCCTGCTCTTCCCCAGCTGCTTTGGGGGTGTGCGGGAGCAGAGACGGCCTTCGGGGAGCCAGAGGTGCTCTTGGCTCCAATAAATACAGCATCCGCAGCCCGTGCTTGCAGGGCCCTGGCACGGGGAGAGCGCAGTGCCCCAGCAGCGCGTGGCTCGTCACTCTTGCTGGTTCTGGGGTGCCTGGCCGCGTGCAGGAGCGAGCAGCCACCTCCCCAAAACCTCGGCGTGCTCTGTCGCTTGCTTTGTGATTAAGCTGCATCCGTAGCAGAGCCCTCTGATGCTTCCCTTGTTGTCACAGGCGCAGGGCTGGCGCTTAGTGCACAAAAACGGCTGCTCCGGGTTTTGCAGGCTCTTCTGACTTGAAAGTTTTCTCAGATGGTGTAAGTGGGCCCAGATGCCCTTAGAGCAGTTGAGGGTTTGGTCCCAAATGTTTAATCTGCTACCTTTAGAACACTTAATGATGGGAAATCTGATATTTAACGCTCCTTTTTCCATCGTTGTCCTATTTCGTTGTGCTGAGAATTAAGATTTTCAGCGGGAATGTGAGGGCTTTTTACTCTGGCTCTGTAGTTCTGCAGATGTGGTGCCTTTAAATGGGCTCAGATTATCCTTTAGCAGCTGGCACATACTCGTTTTTCCCCTCATGTTTCCATCTATTTTGTGTCAACAAAACCTGTCAGTGAAGTTTGGTTCTGTGTGCCTTTCCAGAAGGGAAATAGGTAGTTAAATGCATCCAAATCCTGCCAGATCCTGCTCTGAAGTAGATGGAWGCCCCTGTGGCAGGGCAGCAGAGAGGTGAAGCCTGGCAGCTGGTCCCTTGTTAAACAGGGGCCACAATTTCACRCTGCTGGGTGCAAAATGGTGCCTCTTCTGCCACTAACAACCCACTTTCTTGCAGTGGGAGTCTCCCAAAGCTCCACCTGTGAGTACCTAGTTGCATCAATTAGATGTCAAGTCCTTTTGGTATTGAATGTAGTGAAATGGGAGATCCTGGACACAAAATSGTTAGTCAGATGCTTGAGATGCTGTTAATCCAGCTGCGTCAGCTAATTTTGATACATGTTGGGGAATATGGATTTATTCTCTCACTGCTTTCACCTCTCTCCCTCCAAACAAGAACAGCTTCTGGTTGAGCAGACCCTGCCAGTCTCGGGCACTTGCTGTGGGATTCGGTGCCGGCGCCTCCGTGCCTTGTGCACCGTGGGGTCCCCAGGAGCCTTCCTCCCGAGCAGCTCCCTCCTTGTCTTGTTGCGGCAGGTTTTTCTGTTCGCCCTACAAGGGGCTTACGGCGCTACCTGGTTAGAACGGGGACGGTTTCGGGCAGAAGCTCTTTCCTGCTGCCCTGCTCTGTGGCTGTCCCGTGGCRCTGCGGCAGCCCCGGGTCCGCGCGCCCTTGGGAGCCCGAGCGACGCGTGGCCTCCTCGCGCTCCGGGTGCCCTTCCGGGGTGGGCACGGCAGGTGGGTGGCTGCAGGGAGCAGGGGGTGCCTGGGCCACGTTCCTCAGCTCGGGCTCTCACTGGTCCACAAGTGAAAATTCGAGACTTCCTCTGGTTGAGCATTTACTGTAGTGCAGGAAGGGACGCAGGTTCTCGTGCTGAGATTTTAAAGGCAGCTGTGGGAGAGCCTGTGAAGCCTTTCTGGCGGTGCCAGAAAGAGTTCTGGCCCCTGCGTACTGCGTAGCGTCATCTGCTCATCCGCTCTTCAAAAGCAGCTCTATTTTTTTCCAAATTTTTCTAAAAATATGACCACCTTTACTTTTCATTSCTTCTTTTGGTCTCCTCTGTCCATGTGGCTCCTTCCTGCCTCCCTGCAGGGAGCCGAGTCCTGCAGCGGGGAGGATTTTGGCGGCTGTCGCTGAGCGGAGCCTTTGCTGGCGCTTCAGGGCTGCTGCTCAGCCCGTGCCCCGGCCTGGGCTGCGCAGGGCCCCTCGCTGGGGCTTTGTACACGGGCTCTGCTCTACGTGAGCTCTGCTCTATGTGAGCACATGCTTTACGTGAAGCCTCTTGTTTCCATAGGCTGCTCAACTGGTAAACTCCTCAGTGTGCTGCAAAAGCCCCCCAGCTTCCTCATGGAGCCTTGTTTCCTCTCAAGGTGTTTTTCTCCTGTGATGATAAGGTGTCTTGGAACACACACTTGCATTGTCGCGCACTGCATTTTTCACAGGAAGTGTGTTTGGCTGGCTATGGCATCCTAACAAATGCAATCCTTTCAAATACTGAAGGCAGTGAGAACTCTTCTTTAACAGGAAGTGGTATTTGGTAATTGGAAAGGATTTTAGTAACGACAAAAGTACGAGATGGTTCTTTGAGTGATTCTTGCTAGTTACTGTAGCACTGAAGGATAGCACCAAGCAGCGTGGGTGATGGAGCGAGTGAGATCCCCCGGTATTTGGTTACACRTGCAGGTCCCTGGGGTTGGCTCCTTGTGCCTGCAGGAGTGGGAGGAGGCAGCTGCTCCATGCTCGGGGGTCTCCAATGAGGAGGAGATGCCTTTGAATCTTCTTTGTCTGGCTCTCAGGTGAGCTGTGGTAGCTGGATTATCGAATCTCCTCAGTGTTTGTTTTTCTTTCTCCAGGTTAATAAGGAAAATAGAAACAGCATTTTGCAAGACATCTTGGCAACTGTGGAATCCTGTGGAAAATGAAGATCCTTCTCTTCCCTGTAGACAGCAAGCTTTTGTTTTCATCAAATACTACGACATTTTGCAGCTCTTTCAGAGTGTGTCCTTCCTGTGTCAGCCGCTGCAGGGTTTCTTGGAGCCTCCGGGGCCAGCGAGGTAGAGCTGGGATTGCTTTAAAACGYGGCGGGAGGATTCCTGCTTGCTCCCTTCACGAGCCCAGCAAAAACCTGYGCTGTGGCAGAGGGGGCAGCAGCGGCATCACGCGGGGTGCCCGACTGCGGGTGGACTTACTGCAGTCCCRGCGGGAATGAGAGCTCTGTGGAGGCACGGAAAGGAACTGGCTCTGCCCTCTTCCTGCCTAGACCAGGAGCCGGGAGCTGGTGCAGCAGTTGTAGGCTGGGATTTGTTTGACGTTTCTGAGGACAGTYCTGTTTCTCATCCCCTTTACGTTTGTGGGGGAGTTTTTCTAAAATTTATTTTTATTCGGGTTCCTGAAACGTAGTTAAATCATGGCATACTTTTTTTGCATACAGAGTTTAGTAGATGAAGGTAGAGTTATTTTGCAGTTGCCTGTGCAGGTTTCACAGTCCTCTGTGGACTGTTGATATTTTCTTGACTTTCCTTTCAGTTCTGTGCCTGCTGCATGGTTGGTGATGAAATGGGAGGTGTTTGAGAGGATGAAACAATGTGTTTCCCTCGGAGCGTTGCAAGCGTGTTCGGGAAAAGTGCTTCCACTTAATTGGTGTTGTGTGTTGTGAAAACAGAATTCCCTCCCAGGTGCCCACTTGCTCATTGTATGATTTATAGTTGTGTCTGGCTGTAAAAAGATGTTAACATTTCAGTGCTTGCTAGTCCTTTTTKTTTGTTTGGCTCAACAACTGTTCCAATGAGCACGGCATTTGAAGGCCTTTTCAAACATCCATTTGCCTAGTTGTTCCTGCGCAAGCCGGCCCCACAAGTTGTGTGGGGCTGCAGGGGGACGGGCCTTTCCGCAGGTCCTGGTGGGGAGAGGGGCTGCGCTGGCAGCATCCTCATCCTTCCCCAGGGCAGGGCGTGAGGCGCCTCCCCACGCCGGAGCTCTCCCTTGTGTCCAGACCCTTGTGTCCACATCCATGGCTCTGGACACAGCCTAGTGCCTGCCAGGGGCAGCGGCTGCTTTCCCCACCACTGCCGCAGCAGGAGGCGCAGCACAAGGGAAGGGAAGGGAAGGGAAGGGCTCCTTGGCCTCCGTTGGTCGAGGCTGCTGGGACCTCGTGAGGCCGGGAGCTTACGGCTGGTGTGCTGGGGTGAGCGTCCTCGGTGGCCGTAACGCTCCAGCTGTGCGAGTGAGGGGAACGAGTCGCTAGAGCAAAGTACCCCACACGGGGATGGGTTCCTCATTCACCTAAATTTGGATTGAACCACCACCCCTTTCCACATACCAGTGGATGTTGCTTGCTGCCACCCAGGCCAAGCCTGAAAGCCTCTCCCCGCTGCCCTACAGGGTGTTTTAGGAGAAGCCGAGAGCAGTTTTATGGCCTGTGTCAGTGGGAGATCCTGGATGATCTGAACGGTCGCTTCTGGCCTGGAGATCTGAGTCAGTGTCGAAGTCACGACTCGCCTGTCTCCAATAAGCAGCGAGTGAGTGAGAAAGCAGCATTTCCAACTGGGCTCTAGGTTTTTGGACGTGCTGTGTTTACTTGAGAGGTAGATATTTACTGTCTGCTCCTGCACTAGTGAAGTGTCTAGAAAGTCTTAGGCGCATTTAGCCACAACCAGTGCGTCTGCCATTCCCCTGGCCGGCTAATGCTGCTGTAATAGCACGTGGCTAGTGCAAATAACCCCGGGGGCAGCAGCGAGAGCCCACATGACAACAGGAGGGCACCTGCAGGCTTTAATTGGTGCAAAAAAGGGGAGGAGAGGAGGTACCAATTATTCTCTCCAAGGCTGAAAATCAAGGACGTTTTTGGCAAGGAGGTTTGTAATTTCAACGTAGAATTGCGTGCAGCGGGGCATAAGCAGGGCTTGCATCGTCTATCCTGCATTAGCCCATTTTTGACTTGTAAAAACTGGGAGGAGGCCGAGTGAGAGCGGAATGGGGAACGCTGGACCTGCTGCACTGTTAAGTGTACGTGGGGTGTGTGGCTTGCAGATGTGAGGCTGCAGGAGCACCAGTGACATGCTGTGATTAAYGGCCAACTCCCAGTCCAGAGAGGAAGCTAAAAAAGACACAAATTGTGTAGTGAAGAAACAGGTAGKGAGGAGATGCTGATTAGCAGTGAAATTCTCTCGCAGGTAATTCTGATCTTCTGCAAGGAGCTGTGTGGAATTCAGCTAAGCTTGAGCTTTAATCCCCCAGCAAGAGAGGAGCAGTGAGGGGGTGGGCAGGAGCCAAATGCACGTGCAGTTTGTTGGCAAGGGAGGGCGCTGTGCAGCCGCTGGCTCATCGGGGTGACGCCGCCTCACCTGGGCTCACAGGACAAATCAGCCTGCATGGGTTGGTTAATTTTGGTGGAAATAAATTCAAATTTGACTTAGAGATTTGCACMCTAGAGGTCGAGGTGAAGGTACCTGAATATGCAAGCGTTCAGCATACCTGTAGGATGGGAATAGTTTGGGAATTCTGTAAGGAAGTTTTGTGCTTACCTGCTTCCCCTGCGCCTATGGGGCGTTGCATGGGGAAGCAACTGGGGGTGGGTTACAAGGGCCAAGAGCAGGGAAAACGGGATGGGCGAATCCGCAGGCACATCCACATCACCAGTAGTGGCCGCCTTGCAGGCGAGGTCCCTGTGCCTCGTGTAGGGGGTAGGCAAAGCCCTGGGGGCTGCGGGACCCCCGCCAGCACCGAGTTTAGGTTCCTCTTTAGCCCCACACCTGGACAGGAGCCAACAGGGGCCACAACTAAGCGCAGCCGCTGCCCCCTGCGTGGCTCTGAGGCCGTGTGTCAGCACCCCCCTTCTGCCTTGGTGGGCGTGCGCAGGGTTCTGCCTGGCTCAGGCCGAGCTTTGTAAATAAGGAATTCATCACACGCTGAGGTGAGAGGGGAGTGGTAAGTTTCTCAAGTCCATAGAACATAAAGCAAGTAAAAATAATTCAAAAATAAATCAAAATAAAAGAGAAACCCCAGAAACTGCTGCCACACAAAACATTCTTGCATCTCTTTATTATCACGAGAGGTTATTTAGTTCTACTTGCACTAGTGTGTGGCGCAGCAGGAAGCTGAGAAGGCAACAGTGCTTTGTCTGAGGGTCATGAGACTTCGCTCCAGCACCTCTTGGGAGAGCTGCCTCATTAACGGGCCACGCCGGCCTGGCYGGGGGTCAGCAACAGTCTGTGGTGCCTACAGGAAAGACCAACAGCCAGACACTGAGAGCTGCAAATGTTTTTAATTAAAAAAAGAGACTGAGGAGATGCACGCGGGGTGTGTGTGCATGTGCCCGCTGCAGCAGGGCAAGGCCTGGCCGTGCAGCCTTTGCCCGCTGTAACGCGGTGCGGCGCGAGCTGTGACCCCGCTCTGCTGCCTCTGTCCCTGTGCACYGGGCAGCATCTCGGTGCCCAGGGAGGGCAAGGGGGGAGGCTCTGCGACCCCAGCGTGAGCTCAGAGGTAGGGGCAGCTGTCTCAGCAGAGCTGCTTGCCCTGCAAATGGGGGCACTGCCGAGGGCTTGGTGAGGGCGTTGCATGCACGGGCTGCTGCCGACGGTGCTCCTGGCGCGGCCAGGAGCTGCATGCGGCTCCGGGGGCGGGGGGGCCAAGCTGCGGCTCTGAGTTGGCGGCTGCGTAACGGGTCGARGAAGAACAAAGCTTTGCTTGTGAAGAAAAGAGATTTGACTCTGCTGTTGCAGTGCAGGCTGTACTGTCCTTTATGGAATCATTGCTTCTGTTCAAAGTTGCTGTTTGTTACACATTATTTCAAATGTCAGTTATTTATTTCACATGCAAGCAGCTGTTTAATGATGGCAGGGAAGAGACTTCTTGTGTGCTTTTCTCTGAGTTGTATTAACATTTCCCATTGCATTTGCTCCTGATTTGGCTGTTGGAGTTTTTTAAACTTTTTTTTCTAATTTCCACCCCAAGAATGTCAACATGTCTGCAGGGGCAGGCATGTCCAATCAATTATATTCATTGTTCAAGGATCTACAACGACCTGAGATGAAGCGGCACTGTTGCTGTTGGGACCTCTTTCACCCCTGTCTGTGCCAAGGCCTTTAGCTGGAGAACACGTAACGCTCCCAATTAGAAAAATAGAGTTGGAGGTTGCTCGGTCCACGCGAGAGGCCCTGCCCAGGCACCTGCAGCTCCTCGCCCTCCCGCTCGTCCTCCAGCGCGGCGGGGCCCGGGCTCCAGGCGCCGCCCTCACTGCTCCTCCGAGAGGCTCTGCTGGGACGGGGAGCCCGTGTCGTCCAGGGCCATGTCCTCCTGGCTGGCCCTCCGGCACTCCCCGCGCCGGCCGGGGGCCGCGGCGCCGGCAGCGCCCGCTGCTCTGCGCAGCCGCGGGGCCGCCTCGCTCGGCCCGCCCGTCTCCGCGAGCTGCTTTAAGGAAAGAAAAGGAAGAAGGAAAGAAAAGTCAAGAAAAAGAAAAGAATGTCTTTCTGTGAAACATGCATTAGTCACAGGAGAGCTGGGAAGAGCGACCTGGCACTGGTCKGGGTGTAAACACGCGCTAACTTGGACAGAAAAGCAGATGAGCTAGAGGTCTAAAGCAGAGATGAACACACAGATGTAGGCCTGACGAGGCATGAGGAGGTTTCCAAGCACCATGGGAGTGGAACTGGAAGCTGTCTGGGAAGCAGGCTGGGAATTTTTGTGCAGTATTTTTCTGTTGGCAAATGCTGATTAAGTAAGCATGCATGTTTCCTTAGAGATACTTCCACTTCCTTTTGGAAGTGCTTCCTAAAGACTTCCTTTGAGTCACCTTGTCAAGAACAAGGCTTTTAGGTCCTCGGTCAAATTTGTTGTCAGAGATGGGGAAAGAGAGAGAAAAAGAGAGAAAAACCAGTATCTTGTTCACTGTGACCCCTTCTTTGTGCAAAGAATTAATCCCTGGATAGGCAAGCAACGAAGGGCCTATTCAGTCTGCTGGTGCAGTACTCATCRGCAAGGCTGCATAAAATCTGGAAACTTAATGCCCAGATCTAAGTAAAATGATGAGAGACTTGCCCCTGTTGGCCAGCTCAGGTGTGTGCTTAACAGCCAGCGTGTCACTTATTTTTGAACACAGCCCTCTCTCTCACATAGACATGCACAAATGGTGACCAGTTGTGCTGCCCAACCCAAAACGCCCCAGATTCCTCACAGTGTTTGGGAAAAGGAACGACCCTTTTCTGAGGAGTGCGAAGGAAGGACCGAGCGAGGGGTGAAGCCGCCTCGGGGCCGTGCTGGGGGCAGCACGGGGGCTCGGGCGAGGACTCACCCGCGCGGCCTGCGTGGCTGCCCTGGCCGAGGGCCCCAGGGCGATGTTCATGCTGCTGGAGGACTGCGTGTCACTGGTGTTGCCGCCGTCCGCCGCCGAGAGCCCCGAAATCACCAGGGCGCTCGAGAAGCTCCTCTTGCCAAAGAGCAGGCTGAGCGTTGAGCTGGTGGAGGAGGCCAGGCTGGACCTGAGCATGGCTGCAGCTTGCTCCTGCACGGTCAGCTGGCCGGCGACGGCAGCAGCGGGAGACTGGGAAAACACGGAGGTCTCCGAGTTGTGCAGGGAGCGCTGGCTGTGGGAGCGCCGCGGGGCCATCTCGTGGGCAGAGCTCGAGGTCTGCATGAAGGGCTGGCGACCGTCCACAACGGGCCCCGAGTGACTTGGAACGGGAGGCCGTGGGTGTAAGGCCGTGTGAGCCTGCACGGAGCCGCTCCTGAGCTTTCGCCTGCCTTCAAAAGAGACATTAGAATATTTAAGTAAGCACCAAGTTGCTTCCTGATGATGTCCATGTTCTTGACCTTATCCTAGGCATACACGTCATTATCTGGCCAAAAACCAAGTGATATTTTGTCAGCGTTTCCAAAAATCGGAAAYTGGTAAACCTATGAACCTGTTAACCTGTCCCGCCCCCCTCCCCCCCGACTACACTGGTTCTGGCYGTGGTCAGAAGAGATCCAGTGGTTTTGCCCAGGATCATAAAAGGGCTGAGAGGAGAAGCCAGGGAGCCTCCCCTGGCTCTGCCCAGGCACACGGCTGTTCTGCCAGGCATGTTTGGAGCTGCCTGTTCAATGCACAGTCATGTTACTGCTGTGCTGGGTAACTGCTCCTTGTGGACAACTCCACCGACCCAGCTGATGCTGAACGTCTTTAAATGGCTTGGTATAACTTAATTAAAAAATAAAATGGATGTGAACTATGAAGTCACATTAAAAAGAGCTACTCCTGCATGGGTGAATTTGGAATCTGAGCCTTCAGTCAAGGGAAACCCACAGAATTCAGGCCACCTGAGGCTAGCAGTTGAACTTTGAGATGGTTACAGGGTAACACAGATCGCACACCTACTTCAGGCAACCCAGGCGAGGCCCCTGTGAACTCCTTTACATCACCTCCTTCAGACAACACATTTCAGTCTTTCTCATGCTTCTTTACACAGAGATTTAAAAAAAAAAAGACAAGCAGATCAGCATATGAGGAGGCGGGGAGGCTGCCAGGCCCTGCTGGCACGGCAGGTGGATCCGCATACGGACATGGACGTGCGAGCGCTGCCCCGCGTGGCACATACCAGGAAGCCGAGGCACCAACACGAGCTGGCAGCCCGGGGCCCACATGCAGGCATGGACTCCCAGAACTCTTAAGGTTGGMAGGGACCCCTAGAGATCACCTAGTCCAACCCCCTGCACATGCAGGGACACCCAGAGCACGGGGCACAGGGCGGCATCCAGGTGGGTTKKSAAGATCTCCAGAGAAGGAGACTCCACAGGCTCCCTGGGCAGCCTGTGCCAGGGCTCTGGCACCCTCACCGTCAAGAATTTTTTCTTTAAGTTCCTGTGGAACTTKTAGTGCTTCAGTTTGTRGCCGTTTCCTCTAGTTCYATCAGTGACCACCACTGAAAAGAGGCCGCCCCATCCTCCTCACTCCCTCAAACTGCCCACACTCTGCAAGTGAAACAAACTGCTTTACATTCTCCTATCTGCTTGCCAGAGGCTGGTACCAACAGCCCCATTCTGCACTTACTGAAGCAAAGGAAACTTAGGTGACCTGGCACGGGGCCAGACAGCAGAGCTGGTCCTTAACTCACCGGAGCTGCTTGGCTGCAACAAAACCTCACTGGTTTGGCACTCCCGGGACACTGCTGCCCGCGATGGGCCTTTTAATATGTTACTGTTTGAAATAAAAAGGGCAGACTGGAATTAAGTAGCAGGGGGGCTGAGTGTTGGTTTGTTCACGGGCTATCGTGGCCAAACACCTGCTTGCGATTTGAACTGCCAGGCTGACCGCTGTCCAAAACATCCTGCACTCATCCCAAAGGCAGAGGCTGCGGCACCGAGCGGGAGACCACCCGTATCTCCCCATAAACAGCCTGCGCCGGGAAGCGCTTGGGAAACCAAGGCCGTCCTCTCAACTGCATCACGAAACAAGGACAATTTGGGGGTGAGCCCCACACACTCCCCATGGTCCTGATGTCAGTCTCATTTTTATACGTGACTTTAACTGCAATCTGCAGACTCAATAGCACCGGGCTGCAAAAAGAAATATGAAATATGAAAATATTAAATGCAGTTGATTATGAGTATGAGCCTAGAGGGGATGCCTGTGATCCTCCAGTCTGTCATGCTATATAACACAGGCAGCAGAACTTCCTGGAATTAATTCCTATATGGTATTATTAATTATGGCTATTCTTTTTAAGAAGAGCAGCAAACAGAAGAGCAGTGAATCCATCTAAACCCTTAGCCACTTGTTCCACTGGTTATTTACCAGTGAAATGTAATGTGCACAAGTGCACATTCAAGTGCACTTCATGTACACTTGATTTCAAATTAAATTTGGTTAGCTTAATTATATCCAGATCTATTAGAACCAACATCCTGGTCAGCTTTTGGTGCCCAGGACATATTTTGTAGAGCTTTGATCAGTTTACAACTCTTGCCCCTGGCTGCGGTACATTGCTCCGGTCACCCTGCTCACTCCCTTTTTTAAAGCCTGGCGCTGGGTACATTTTCCCCACTCCTCTGGTACTGCCTTAGTGTTCTGATACAGAAGATCAGAGCTTTTTCAACAGCTGTTTTAAAAACATTCTTGAATGAGAGTTAGCTGGATTYGCTCACTTAAGCATATAGCTTTGATAACTGCTCTTTAATGTTCTTTGTAGCTGCCAGGATGGAAAGAACTATCTCACCATCACATGCTCAGCCTCTGTCATCTGGATTTTCCCCCAAATGCAGAACAGACGTGACCCTTTCTCATTTCTGCCTTGGACAGAATTGACAATTCTACTTTTTTATGTGGTGATGGATCAGGACTACTGTTATGATTTCTGTTTCTAATATTCTTAGAAAATAAAYAGCAACCGAACCACTTCTGTCTCACTGTCACAAATGTTGCTGGCTGGAAATTTCTCCTTGTTCCATTCCCTTTCTCTCTCCATTGCGTCTCTCAGGCCACAATGATGATTTACATTTGCTGCTTTCCACTTCTTTGCATTTGTTGCAATTTCTACATTTTATCTCAAAGCCAGGTTGCTTCTCCTTAACTGTGATCTTCTCTCTTGACTGTGTCCTTTTCATTTTTTTTTTAGGCATCCAATGCAGAATTTACAATTAACGTGCATTATTGTATGGGATGCCCGGGTTCATTATTTTACAATTAACTTYGCCATTCTGATTACTGCAGTGTCAAATTACAAGTATGCACATGGGGATTCCTTGAAAGCTCCACTCAATTAAAAGTCACAGTTATTTTATTCTTACAATGTGATTTATATTCATGGCAAGATTTCCTCCAGTCCTGTCTGTTATTTTTAATGATAGGTCAAAACGATCTAAGAGGAAACAAGCAAGTTCCATCACCCTCTAGGTCCGTGCTTAAAACCATACCACCACAGCCAAAACGTGGAACTTTCCACAAGCCCTAATTCCTTAGTGCTAAGTCTTACAGTCATTCACTAGCAAACAACATCTATTTCCAATGAACTGCTCTCTCGTAAGTGTATTTGAGGCAATTTTAGAGCTGCAGTTTAATATAAGAACAGGATTCAGATGTTACCTGACAGAAATGCTGCCAGCACTTTTTTGATAACTTTTGATAACTGCAGTATAGGTTCAAGGAGTTGTTTTCTATTTACTTATTCTCCATTGACAAGCCAGCTCCTCACGTAAATTGCTGGGGTCCTTCATAGAGCTGAGGCTTTTGCACCGTTTCAGTCCCGCTGCCCCCAGGTCACGGCGGGACAGCAGGCAGCGGTGCCCACACTCGCACTCGCAGCATCACGGAGTGGCTGAGGTTGGCAGGGACCCCTAGAGATCCTCTAGCCCAACCCCCTGCTCCAGCAGGGACACCCAGAGCATGGGGCACAGGGTGGCATCCAGGCGGGTTTGGAAGATCTCCAGAGAAGGAGACTCCACAGGCTCCCTGGGCAGCCTGTGCCAGGGCTCTGCCACCCTCCCAGGAAGGCTCTCCCTCGGGCGCGGAACTCGCTCCCACCCTGGCTSTGGGGGGCAGTGGCGGTGCCCGGGTACCTGTGTGCGGGGGCAGGTGGCGGGCGGGCGGGCGCAGCTGCGGGGTGCCGCTCCGCGTGTGCGGCTGCGAGCTGCCGCCCTGGCTGCCGGCGCCGCTGCCCGACGCCGCGCCGCTCTCCAGCTCCTCCGCGTCGCGCCGCTCCTGCTGCGCCGCGTGGCAGTCCTTGCGCATCCTGCGGGACGGAGCGAACACGCGCGCGGCTCTGCATTAGGCGGGACCGGCTCTGCCGTCCGCTTCTCAGCTCCCCAACAGCAATACCTGACTTGTGCATTCTGACACCGCTGCAGCTYGTTGGGCATTTTATTGGATCACAAGGATGACCGTATGGAAAGATGACTTGGAATTGTATCGTGATCCTGCCCAAGATCATTTCTTACCTGTCTCCAGTGGCCTCARTGCACTTCATCTAATGTCAGATCAGCTTCCACATGAGATAACCAARCCATTCCTTCCCAAGAGGTCTGGGCACAAACTGTGTACCAGGAAGGCAACACGAGGCACCCAGGTAGCTGAACATTTTAGCACATGTCTTTGTGCTCAATCCAGCTGCCATGGAGCTGTTCTCAGGCCCAGTAGCAAGAGACAAGTTCACGTAGGGGAAAATGAGCCAGAATGAGCTACTGTTGTATGCAGAGTGCCCAAAGGGTGAGAGGAAACAGTGTGCAATTACTTTTTTTTTTTTTTTTTTTTTTAAACAGAAAATACAGTGGAACTAAGGACTAGGGTTTCTGTGCTGCATATCATGACCAAAGTTGAACACCTACCTTAACCATTTGGATCTGAACCACTTTTTAATGTTGTCCAAACTGAGAGGTCCCCCCCAAATGTTCCTCAGTTGGCTGTGTGTCCCGAGGTAGGAGGTGGTTAGAGGGGAAACGTACATTGGGTATCCTAGTGGCTGATCACACGAAGAGTTAATCAAGTTCCGCAAGACCTGCTTATTGTTCTGGATGCTTCCTCTTTCCGGGTTACGGTTGCGCAAGAAAATCAGCTCCTGCTGCTGCCCAGCCCAGAGCCCTCTGACACACTCCTTGTTCACCTGCAGGTAGGGCAGAAAAGTTTGGGTCACGTGAAAACACTTGCTGCTGGAGGCACCGAGCTGCAGGACGGCAGCATCCGTCTGCACGCASGTCGTGCCTTTGTAGCTGTGGCTGTTATGAACCTTCCCAACTACTCCCCAGTCCAGCCAGGAATGACTCACAACTTAAAGGTGCAAAATGGAAGTGAACTGAACAGAGGCTCCATTTCTGGACTCCAGGCACTGCTGTGATTRCTATAATCAACCTCCTCTTTTTGGCCAGGCTACTGAGAAATAATATTGTAACCGCAGCCCTATGTTCCTGCAGTAGTAGAACGGTAGCATAGGTACCTTGATAACCTTGAAGTTCAAGTAGCTCTTGTGCAGCATGATAACTTTATATTCATCTGCTCCTTCATCTACCACATGTCTCAGGGTTAGCAGCTCTTCCCTGTTGGAGAGCACAGCACGGCGCCAGGCTGGGTCCCCTTCATGACAAATCACCACCTTTTCCTCGAAGGACTGGATTGCTTCATATAAAACTGCTGGGTCCTCATACTCATCTGGGCAGGTGAACTGGTCCTAGTAGGAAATGAAGAAACATTACAGTGGGTCAGGCATCCTTGTGAACCCTCCACATAACTTAGTATTTGATGCAGTGTGTGTTTGGGGAGATGGGCCCATTAAGTTCATGGCAATACGGAGAGATATAATTCTTGCACCCAACTTTAAWTTAATCTTACCTCTCTACTGGACACTCAGAGAATGACATTTAGCCACTCTTTTCTGTAACATGGGAAATCAGAGAAGCTTTTGGTTAAGCTGGAGGGAAATCAGAATTACCCAGGATATATTTATTAGCCAGGATATTTTCAATCATGAAAAAAAAAAAAAAACAGCAACAAGAATCCAGACTGGGAATCCAACAGCAGATATCACAATGTTTTGGGCTTCTTTATCCGCCACATAGCAACTGTGCCATGATGACCATAAAATCATTTTGTCAAATTCTTATATATTAATTGACTGTAGTTCTGCTTCAGTTCCTCTACGGAACAATTATCAGTATCAGACATTTGAAAGTGTTCGGCTAAATTAACAATAAAAATAGCTTAATCGATGTATCTATTTTCAATCTAGAAATCACCTTTACAGTATCTATGTAAATAAAACATGACATGACAAGCAGTATTTCTTTTAGGAAAAGTAATAGGTCATAGTCTGGAACATGAATGGTTTTAAAGGGGAATTAAGATGTACAGAATGGGAAATAAGTGGAAGACAGTAAGCTAAGGAATTGCTGGACTTTCCCCATTCCATTAAGGAAGGTTCTCAGAATAAGAGCAGCAGCACTCAGTGTTTCCCTCTCATTTCTTCTTCGGTCAGGTTCTGAGGTTTCCGACATTACTTAGCAGAATACGTGCAATAGCAGAAGCAACGAAACCCCCACCTGATGCAGCTTCAGAGACATCCTGATGGCTGGGGCCACGACTTTGTGCAGGAGATCCATGTCTGCAAAGACCCAYTCATCTTTGGCTGCGATTCGAAAGTCTCCTTTGAACAGTGCATGGAGGCCATAAAGAAAAGAATCCAAACTGTAAGAGATAAAACAGCAATTACTCCCTAAGCAGTGTCCCACTAACCCACAGCCTCCAGGCCGCAGGCGCTGTGTGCAGGTCCCAGGGCCAGGGCAGAGCTGATGGCGGCACCCRGCTGCACATTCTCTCTGTGGAAACAGAGCAGTTTCTTTCCAACCAAAATCCCCTCCTTGAGGTAAATGTTTTTCCTTTTGTTTGTGCCGTGAAGGACTGCCCATGAAATGGAGGTGGCACCTGCGGGGTGAGCCGTAGGGGAGGGCGCTTCGGGCGGCCTCCCTAAGATGGCGGCGCAGGCCTCAACGGCCGCGGGCCGCACCTGGAGGGGCGCTGAGCAGCGCTCTCCACCGCCACCCAGCTCTGCGGGCGAGCGGGGAAAAGGCATCCGTGGAAAATATTTCCAATGAAGTCTGAGGCTTCGTCATGAGACTCAAACCCCGGCTTGAGCACTAAACCAGACAAGCTGAAAAAAAGACATTTTCACAAACCCTCCCAGCAAACCAGGTGAGAGCAGGAAAGAAACTGCCRGCATTTCCTAAAGAAACAACGAGTCTTAAAGGAAATGTGAACACAGGGGGGCATTTTTCTTCCTTTTTTAATACTAGAAAATAGATGTAACYAGCACTGCCTGACCTTCAACAAGGGCTTGCCTGAAGCTGAGATTTAAGCAAGACATGAAGGGTGAAAATCAAGTTGTGGCAAGAAAATGGCTGCCCCGGAGCTTTGCAGAGGGAAACGAGCAGCGCCCAGCGCCCGCTTTGCCCCCGAATCGGGAGCTTCCCCCCGCTCCACAGCAGCCCCTTGTGYGGGGCTCACAGGAGGGCTGAACTCAGCGGGCTCCTGAGGCTGCGGGAAACAGAAGCATCTGCTTAAACTGAGCATCTCTTACAACACCCCAGGGCAGGGTATTTTATTTTATTTATTTTTTACCTGCCAARATTTTACTCACTCTTATAAGAGTTGTTTTTTTCAGATTTTAAAGGCTCTGAGGAGCCTTTAAAGGCATTAAGATGTCAGAGATTTTCATTAGCATCTAGGCTTTCCCCAGAGAATTCAAAATCTTTGTACTTAATTGAGCTTTCTTAATTATTTTAGAAGGGAAAAAAAATCTTGTAGTTTTTTTTCTCCTCCAAGAGAACGAAAAGGGCGATTAGGAATCTGCTTGGCCGATCTTCAGCTCAAACCCATTCTAATTTTGCCCTTGGTGGGTAGCACGTTTCACAAATTGTAACAGAAAGATATATGTGTTGCTACCAGAAAAGCAGCTGGATGATGCTTTTCTCTTTAAAAGCGCACTGAAATATAAGTCAAGCAATAAGCATGACAGGGGCCAGCCCGTACGGCAGGGCTCCCTGCGGCTGCTGGCAATGTCATGGGCACGGAGATGCTCCTGTGAATTTTTTATGTGTTTGCTTTTATTAGTATATATGGAGTCGCACATTAAAGCCTCCTTATGGGAGACAGGCACTTTAACTGTGGATCTTCCAAACGCTGAACCGAAGATTTCAATAGAGTTGCACTATGCTTTCAAGGAATGGGTCCTGATCTCCAGAGATCAGAAATGATGATATACCCAAGTCTTGCTTAACAGCTAGGCAAGCCCTAGAATAAAGCAGAATAAAAAGTGTGGGTGCGGTCCCTACAGTGACATACATGAATATCATCTCCTTGAAAGTGGTTGGAAAGCTGCAGGGTCTTTTCACCCGCCCACCCATCTAGATATTTGGCTGAATCTTTCCTTGCAAAAACGCTTCGATATCTATCTACTCTTTCCAGCATGAAACTGGAAAAAAAAAAAGACCCTGATCTCTACCGTAACGATCTCTACCTAAGGATGATTTTGTGCTACAGTTTTTGCCCAAGTAAGATCCACTGCATTTGCTAAGAAAACTTGGCTATGTGCAAGCAGGTGAAAGAACTGTGATTTTCTTTTTTTTTTTTTGAACATCGTTAGAGGCTTTCAGAGCCTCTCTATTTGAACACCACAGCAGAGGAAGAAATCGCACTTGCACAAAATAGTCTTACAGACATCAGCAAGTGCTAAACAGGCCACTATGAACAGGGCCGGAGCTGGGAGAGCTGGGGCAAACCACAGAAGAGCATCGGCAGACGGAGCAGAAGGGAGAGCACGTAGCTCTCGCTGTGCTTAGTTCAGAGAGACCCATCAATCTCTCATCTCTCCTCATAATAAGCTCCCTATCCATCATTTTCAAGAACGAATGCAGTTGCTATAAGGAGCAAAGCAGTGGTGGCAGAAATGGAAGGAGGTTGAGAGTCAATTATTTTACATATGGCATTTTCCACCACAGAGATCTGGAGAAGGTTGTAGCATTCATGATGTGAATTAATTCTTTCATTCTGCCCATCATACTGAGGCTTTTGGGTACATCCTTTCTATAATGTGACTTTCTATAATGTAACTCTCTCTTCTTTAACACTCCACCCTTAATCCACACAAAATGCAGCTTGGGTGTCCTTCTCCTTACGCTCTGCTCAAAGCTCAAAGGAGACTATGTGGAAGCCCTAAGCCATAGGCCCTTATTTCTGGCCTGACCCAAGGTTGCTTTCTTTGCTCTTCTTTAATATACCTCTGTTAGAAAACTGCTGTACTTACAGACTTGTTCCAAATATTTTTATAACTAGGCAAGGTAAAATTAGAAGTCAAAGAAATTACWCTTATCGGGAAGAGACATAACTGCTAGGATCTGCTGGAAACATTTCTGAGCCTCTGAACTAAGAGCCTCCAAATGCTGCTATCATAACTGAGAGCTCTTTTAGATCAGCATGAGGAGCAACACAGACCCTTCTGCCCCCCAAATGTGCAGAGGGGAGGGGATTGAGTCACACCACAAATACCAGAGGAAGGGCAGAGGGCAAAAAAGGCCAAAGTAAATACTCCCTCTTATTTCACTCCTCACATCTGTGCAGTTTACAGACCCATCCTAATTTTAACTGGAGGTTTTTAAGTAACAGAGACACCCACGTGCCTATCAGCTGATAATGACACAGCTCACCTCAAAGAAACATCTTCAGTTGTGGTCCCTAATCCTGTAAGTTGCGGAGTATTTTACATGCCTGTTTCTGGGACAGAAAGGGCAAACTTTTCTTCCTCAAGAAGGGCTCAGCTTGGCTTTCTCCCATGCTCCAGTGCAAGCCACTTGGCAATGCTTTACATTTTTCCAATTTTGAAATATATATTAAGTATTTACTTATTAGCAGATTTTGTCACTGAATAGGGTTATTAAGCGGTTTTTACAAATGCATACTGAAATATATCACTCACATCTGAATAAATGAATGGTAATGTCGTGTCATTCTTCAAATTGCATTTTGTACAGGATGCTTCCTAATGACAGTTAAAAGCGCATGCGATTTGCATAGTAATRTTCTGCCTTCTTAATTAATGCATTTATTGTGTAATCTGGTGTTAATGCTGGGTTTGCACTGACATTTACATGAACAGGTACGTTGAATAATTATTTACATACTTTATATAAGAGCATTTAAAATCTTGGTTTACAGTGACATTTACTGATTAATAGATTAGATGAAATCATGTGTAAATGAGTACAAATTGATAGTTTACATACACAATGTAAACTTCAATCTCAATACTTTGGTGCATAGCTCAATGCAATGATACTTTTGCATTATTACTTTTGCCAAGCAGCTGGATGACTGTCGCGCCTGAAGACACAGAGGGAAGTGGACTCAATCCAGAGGACGTTTCCTACTATCCACACAATTACTCCAGGGGACAGACTAGAGAGCATAAATTCTTGGCTACCTTACTCACACTGGACATACCCGAAATGCTTTCTAGAAATAGGAAGGGTAAGAGCAGGTCACCTACTCTCTGTTTACTGTCTCCAAGTGGGCAGCCTCCTTCCCCTGCATGCTGTGTTACTGCAGCCCTACGCAAGGCTTGCTCACTTATTCCTTATGTTTAAGCAACCTGGGGTGATCTGCATGAAGCAGCAAGCAAGAAGTAGGGCAAGAACTGCTCTTCGGCCAAAGTGACTGAATCTAAGGGGAGGGGGTTGATTGATAACAGCCTTGATATCAGGAGGGAAATGTACCCACTTTCCCCCTTACCTAATTTCTACTAAGCTGTATTTGTCAGGGACCCCACKATGGCCAGATAGTCTTTATCTTGAGGGCACGTTTTCAAGTTATCTCTACACTCAATATCAAATAAATTCTTTAAGAGAAAAGATCGGTACATTTCACTGAACTGAAGTCATGCTTTRTAGCTCGGCCAGTCCATAACTTGCATAGTGTATTTAGTTCCTTTTCACTTTTTCTGGTTCTCAGAAAGGTTTTATTACAGGTAACAATCGGGTAAATAAGTTAGGTAGGTTTTCACTGGGAAATTGCTAGGGAAAGCTTTTGTGAGGTAGCACTGAAAGGTACTGGCAGAAGCTCTGTTCAATCCCTTTTCAGTCATAACATACATTTTCAGGATACTATTATTCACTACTGCCCTAAAGCATCTTCATAGTAAAAAGCCAGAACTTAATTAAAGACATWGGATTATACATAATAGACTCAGAAAACCAAAGATAGAGCTGTACGACACATACAGCTACCTCTTTTTTTTYCCCCTTTCTGCAGACTTTTCTCCTCAGGAAAAATATTTCAAGTCTGGAGTGTCCACTCACCAAAAGAGAGAAACTCATCGGATTGACTGGCACCTTTCTAGGTSCAAAACAGACACAGTTTAACAGACTCGTGCTATCATTATTAAAATATTCACAGAGGACTCTGCAAATAATTATCTTTAACCAGTCATACTTTCCATGTCAAGCTTGGAAAGCGCCTGATAATATTATCTCTGCCTCAGCTACTAACAATGTCAGCCAGTAAAAATAGGTGACATTGTTATTTTACCTGTACTAGTGCCAAAACACCATAATGAAGATTTTACGATGCTGTGGAAAGTACATGCAGCATGATGACAGGTTTTGAAAGCTTTTACGGTATTTTTAGCTGTGCTTCTAATATCTCTGTCATATATCTGCTGCAGGCACAGATCAAAATCACTTTAATCTTTTCTCTGAAAAAAATGATAAAYGCACATCAGCTTTTCTATTATGTCCTCAAACTCTAAAATTTGGTTCATGAAAAAAATAGGGCAATTTTTGAAATTTTGATCACTTACTAAACATGACACTACATTGACTGTATAGAAATTAAGGGAGAGGAAACTCAGCTCAGAATGAAACTATCACTGAAAGGAACATGCAAAAATGAATAGAGGAAAGCTGGAGAAAATCACTGAAGAAAGAGCACAGAAGCAGGTCACTGAGAAGCCATGCCAGCCATGAACATTTTGAGGGAATGRCTCAAGAAAGAAAATATAAAAACTCACATTACAAACCACTCAAATATGAAATAACAAAGCAAGGATGGATATTTAAAGGACTGATTTATCTTATAATAAAAAAATGCATTCAAAGTCATTACAATGGCTTTACTCACAGGTTTGTACCAAAGCAGTACAATGTCACATTTAAAGGTGACATAGGTAATAAATATTTCTTTTGTTATTTCTCCCTTGGGAACACAGGGAGTTCTAATACAAACTCTAAAACAAATCTAAAATCAGGTGAGAAGTTAGACTTTAAGTAAAAATGATTTTATTTATAGAATGCCTCATCTACAAAGCAACTCTATTTGCTTAAGGCTAAACACTTCGAAGAGCTTAACAGGTACTTTATAAAACCCAAACAAATCAGAAACTGTAATGATGAATGATGATGATGAATGGAGATGAAGAGTGTATAGCATATTTATAAGCATATTTTAACTAACTAGATTTTCAAGGAAGCAGCATATTGAATGACTAAATAAGACAGAGAGCAGAGAAAGCTGCAGTTTCAAAAGATGCAAAGTTTCTCCTTTCCTGAGGCAACAGAGTGAAGCAGCCCAATGAACACGGACTAATGCCCTGAGTAATCCTAACCACTTAGGGAGTTATTATTTAGCTAACATTTTCTTTTCCTTTTAGAGGACAGCAGCATTTCAGTACCCAGCTCACACTGTACTGAAAGAAGCAATGATCACGTGTACACATTTTTTTCCAGTGCAAGATTCTGCTTTGCCATATGCAATAAAGTCTGGTATTAGTTTTGATGAAAATTACCTTATGAATTATTATGCAGATGAGAAGCTGAGCAGGAATGGCAGAGAACAGTTTGCTTTATGGAGGAAACAGGCTTCACTGATCTAATATTGTGCTGAAACTCCACAGTAAGGGAAAGACGACRAACGGATCTTTCAAGTGAGGAAAAGGATTCCTAGAGTTACCTGATGGCCATGTTGTGTGATGCGGTTCCCAAAGCTCTTCGCCCCAGGATACACAAGGCAAAGGAAAGCGTCACTAGAGGAGAATCCTCATCACTGTCCAGGTGCTGCAAGGTTTTAAGGACAGCAGGTCATTTGAGAGGCAAACAGTATTATCTTTATAAGCACTGCAACACTGTAAAAGATGTATAAACAGCAACATTTCTAAAATCTGTGTGTCGCTGGACCTACCATGTAAGCATTCTTTGCAATTAAACAACACAAGAGGATGGCAAGTGTAGACTTTCTGCAAAAGGCCAGCTTCCTTTGCCCACTGCCTTGAAACTGCAACATGAGGCAGAGAGATCCGAAGGGCTGGTGTTTTTTTCACAGGACTTTCTAAACCTGAGCAGAATCCTCATTGCTGAGATACAATCCAAGGGGAGGTCACCAACCCCCTTCCCATGGGACACMGGGTGTATGTGAAACCTCCAGGCAGATTTCAGAAGAACAGTCTATTTAGAACGCTTTAGAGGAACCGCATTTTAGTGAATAACAATATATCCTTAAATTAGATAGCATTGATGACACTGATCTCACTTTTTAACTGTCAAAACATTACATTTACCTTTACTAGCTCCAGAGTGTCATTTTTAACTGAAATTAAGAAAATAATAAATAAATAAAAAAAATCCTTGCTGTCAAGCTGGAGGAATAACTGAAACAATCCCCCATGCTTGTGAATCTTCAGGAGCATGCAGATTATAATTTCAGTTTACGCAATGGGTGATCTCGTTGATTTTAAAACTGAAGCCAATTATGATGGCTATTTTAGTTGCTTCTGCAAAACATGCTGATTATCAGGGCTGTGGGTACTGTGAGGGTTTTTTTTACATCTCTGCTACATCAATTTAATATCTACATTTTAAAATAATTACAAAAATAGAGGTAAAATAACATGATGTAAAAAATATAAATATGTGCCCACACATGTGCCCTAGTGCATGTATTGGTCTGTCCTTCTAAGTGCAATTTCAATGAGTTTCAACCCCTTTGGGCAACCCTGAATCTATTACTCTATTTGAAAGCATCAGCCACATAACAAGTGAAAAAGTGTCATTTAACAGTTATTTTCCTTGCAAGGTGGAATTCTTTGTGTGTCAGCACKTGGGAGCTGGGACATGGAGATGTGCAAGGACGGAGATGAAACATTCCCAGCAGCAGGAGATGGTGTGGAAGGCTCAGGAGACAACTTAGTGAAAACAAAATCAAAGACAGGTTATGCGGAGGAACTGGAGGAAGGGGATTGAGTTTTACAGACATTCGAAGTAACAGGAATGGAGAAGAAACATTCAGATTCAGGGACGTTACTCTAGATAAGGCCAAAGGCAGCAAGTGGGATGTTAAGTCAGTGATCTGGAGTGAAAAATGCCTCACCAGCAGCGCATGGCAGCCAGGGAAGAGGCACTTGTCATTTCTTTCAGTTGTCAGCAATAACTAGAGAGTTTGAACAAGGAATGTGCCTGCTTGTGACTGCCCTCTCCTGCTGTGCTAYGCGGAGCAGCCCGGGGGAACACAGGAGTATGTTCCCACCGGTGATCTCTGACCACCGATACTCTTGGTGGCTCAACCCTCCCAAAAGGTGCAGCTGTGAACGTGCCCTGGGCCTTCTGGAGCTGCAGGGTGCTTGCACGCAGCTGTATGTGCACAGATGTGAACTGTAGCTGTGCTCACATCTGTGCACATACAACTGCGTGCAAGCACCCTGCAGCTGTAGCTCACATCTGAATTACGACCTGCAAGARGTGACCTGCGCTAACACATAGTTTACCTGTACTTGCTTGGAGTTTAAGGCCATACCCAAGTGTTGGTTAAGTGTTTGGAAAAGGGACACCCACACTGGTAAATGTTATACGTATGCACCCAAATACTGGCAAATGCCGAAGAAGTGATTGCTGTGGTGGCACTTCCCAAACGCAACCTGCTCCAGCAGCACTTCTGCAAACACTTGTTCTATCTGTGCTTTCCAGAGATGATGGAATTAATGGTGCTGGAAGGCAGGCTCAATTGGCTCTGTGCCCAAGGGATAATCCTTATGAAAACTCTTTTTTCTTTTCTCATTTCTTTTTTTTTTTTTTTTTTTGCACAATAGTATCTCTATTTTTTCCCCATATACAAAGCATACACTTTCCAATTGTGTTACATTTCACAGCTTAAATAAAACAGGTTTCTTGTATTAATTCAGAGCAACTGAAGGTATAGCAATGYGCCACTTAACTTCTATCCCAGGAATTAAAACGTAAGAGATCAAAAGCTTACCTCTGCCCTTTTTGCAGCACAATATTGTATCCACTCCAGGTACACACTGCAGAAACTAGCTCTTGTTATTCCTTGGAGACAGGGAACATAATCTTCATCTATGTTAATGTTAAACATTGCAAGGTCACGTTCAATATAATGCCATTTTGCATAAGGCTGCAGAATCTTTTGGATGGATTCATCTTTGATCCAGTGGAGGACTTTGGGAGAACTTGCTGTAAAGTATATTATACTCTGTTGACAAAATGTGCATGTGTTAGTCACAGTACTCTGATTAAAACAAAATAGTTTACCCAGAAAAGAACATGTCAAATATTATAAATACCCAAAATGGTACATATTCTTCCTGGGTTTTGCTGCTTGACATCATTCATTCATATGACTTTTCAGTCAGAATAACAGAAATCRTTAATATCTAAATATCAGAGGAGAGAAAAAGAAGAAAATCTTACTTTTTAAAACATTGCCTCAAAAGAAAATAAAAAACATTTCCTCATAGGAAAATACAAGTCACTAGAAAAAGATAAGAACAAAGTGGTCCAGCACTTGGATTTGTTAATTGGAGACTATGACTAGAGTCCTAGAACCTACAACAAAGATGATAAAAGTCCAGGCATGTTTTGAAAAAATAACCCTCAATGGTTACACTGGCCAAAAAAAAAAAAAAAAAAAAGATTTTTCTATATGGTCTTCCTGCTTTTGGGGATAAATTTCAAGGAAAACCATTTCCATTTAACTATAAGGGGAAGAAGAGACTTGTGTGTACAAGACAACTCTGAACAAAACATTTTTAATTGCTGTTCTCTCTATGCACTTAGCACCACAACTAGTAATGATGCTATTTTTGATGTTAACTGTCAATGAAGCCAGTTCAAAAAGCCAGAAGAATGGAGCATCTCTCACGTTTAAGGCTAGGAAGCTGATAAYTGAGGTAACGGATGTTGTTTTCAAAGCACAAAAGACACTTTCTTTCTATACCAAATACAGAAACACTAGAAAACAGCAAGACTCATGTCTGTGCCTGGGCTTCTGAGCTCAAGCTCTTCGAACCATATAAACAATAATCAGACAAAATTGTCAGCACTAAATTTCAAGTGTACTTTCAAAAGAGAACCGAGTTTAGGGAGACGTTCCAGCAGTGCAAAGGGAAGTGGCTGCAGGTGGGAAATGCCATCGTAATGTCTGATAACTACGATGTTGCGCTAAAGGATATTGACTTAGAACTGGATTCCAAAGCAAATGGTCAGTGCATATGGCTGAAGAGGATGTGGTTTCATGCAATGGAAATAGTATTAAGCAAATAATTGTATAAAATGATAATCTGATAGATTAAAAAGGAGAGAAGCACTACAGGCCCATCCACGCCTTATCCTTTCAATTACACAAAAATATATGAGCAAAAGGAAAATTAAACTCCAGAGGAAAAAGACAAGACAGACAGAAGGTGACTGGGGACAGACTCTTGTGGAAAACAAGGCTCTCTTTTTAAAAGACTCAAGCAGAAACAATAGGAGCTGGAAACACAGCACACAGTAAAAGCAGCCCTCTTGAATACTAAAAGATGTTTAAACAAGAATATACTGAGAAGAGATGGAGGAGGCACTAGGGAAAAATCTCACAGTAGTTGGGCAGGAAATGGTTTCAAAACATATGCAGAAAGGCTACAGGAGCTGACCCACTTCATTTGAGGAGAATAAAAATCGTTTTGTAAGAAGAAATAAAGGCATCCTAAGCTGCCAACGAAACTGCAAATGAAATTGAAATATTAAGCACGAGAGGTTCAGTGCAACTCATTGTTTAAAAGACAAATATGGTAACTATTGACAAAGCATAGGAGAACTGAAACAAAGCACACATTCTCTTGGTTGCTCATCAAAATATAGTTTGCTTTTTGTATTAATCTCAACTGTGTTTACATAGAAGCGGATTCAGCAGGAATAAAAAATACAATTCAGACTTGCCATCAGACACAGGCGTAGCTAAAACTTCCGTTACCTCACTGCATTGTGGTTTTACAAATGCTTCCTGAATACGTTTTGTGCACAATATATTCTTAGCTATATGGCAATTCAGAAATGCTGTGGTAAATATTTACAATGTGGTAAGCTACAAGGAATAAGCGAGAACAGCATCAACTTCAAACACTCAGTACAAATGCAAGAGCAGGTGCTGTTGAAACTTAAAGCCTAAGAGTCTTTCGAGTTTGTGATTTATGTGACCTGAACGCTGCATTAACGGAGTTCATTCTACAATACCTCCTTCTCCATTAAAAGGAAGGTGTCGGGGCTTCAAAATCTTCCCAGTGAAGCTGCCCATGGTCTCTGCAGCTCAGGGGCCTCTAACAGGAAGGAGCTGGGCAAGGAGTGAATTCTCCCCTCTATTTCTGACTTTGTTTATCCAGAGGTAAGTTTTAGTAGGAGGTAAGTTAACAGRATGAAAGCTCATCTGATATGTAATGTAATCTTCTCACCTTCCTAGGGTGCACTAAGAACTTCACCAAATCCTATCAAAGCTCTTGTTCAGGGAAGAAACCAATAACTTGAAGAGAAAAAAAAAAATCTCCATTTATTTCCCTTTGGGACTGTCATTCTACAGTCAGAATTACAGAAGCAATCTCCTTAACATACCCTCTCTTCCCTTAGCTTTGGTTGCGTTTGTCTTCAGTCTCCTTTGTCATCAAAAGTTGAGTCTTATATAAAATTGCACCAGCTTATGTTCAGATTTAATTTTAAAGTAATTGTGGGAACATACTCGTTTCAGCTTAAACAAGGTACATTTATATGATAGTTTAAAAAAATCTTTACCCCCATAACTCCCACTTTTCAAATGAAAGAAACAATGCTCACTTGCAGTTCTTTCCTAATTAATCAAACCAGTCTGGTTGTGAAGCCTCAACCTTTATTGGATGCAAAATCATTTAAGAAATGCCAGTGTCCATTTTACAAAAGTAACAGGCTGAATGATCAAAACATCTTTGTGAGGCAGTAATCTTGTTTATGCTGCATTTGTTCATTTGCAATAAAGGGTGATTATTTCCTTTACAATAGATCTCTCTAAGGCAGACAGCATTTAACAGTTTCCTAGATAAGAGTTGCTTCAGTTGGAGATGGTCATTGCTCTGCAAATTGGCAGTAGCAACGGCATAAATTTGGGGTTTGCTGCTTCAGTAGAAGACAACAAAGAAGAGCAATTTCTTTATTTGCTGGATTGGAGTGGGTTTAAGCAGGCGATGATGATGTTTTGCTGCACTGTAAGGCTTGACTGTTTGACAAATGATCATCTGTGTGGTCAGTGTGACCTCAGTAACACTGGAGCTGCAGAAAGTGAGGCAAATAAATTGTTTTTAATCAGGGGAATAAAATAACTTCAAACGTGTCATGATGCATATCTAAAACAACTTGTAAGAAGGGGAAGCAAACTATTAAAAAGTACATTTGAGAATGACTGAAAGATTGAAAGATCTTCAGAAAGACTGAAAGATTGAAAGGAATCAAAAGACTGAGGAATCTCTCTTCAGAGGGTTCCCAAGATCTTCATGCTTATTGATCTTCTTGTTTGCCAGACAAAACACTACTCAAGTCAGGAAGAAAACAACAAGCCATCAGGGGAGCTTTGCTTTGTAGGAATGCTTATGACTTTACATACAGGATATTAGCTCACCTTCTTGATGTCTGCTTAAGCCAACCTGCAATTTTCAGTAGTAATGGGAGGTGTGAGTGGTCAGAATCAAATACAGCAAATGGAGATACAAGTTACCTATGGCTTTTTAAGTTCAAGTTMATCTGGCTGCCTCTAGTGCAAAGGAATGGATGTAAAGACAGTTATTTAAGACACTACTTCTATTAGAAAGCCAGAACTCTATCTCCTTGATAAATCTGTCTGGAAAAGAATTCCGCTCTACCAAAGAATTTACCTTGATATAGTATCTGATAAGTATTCTCCGCAGATCAAACACTTGCAGCATCGTTGCCGCGTTGTTATCGATGATGCTGTAGCCTTCCAGGATGTACTGCGTGCGAGTGATTTCCCATGTCAGCCATCGGAGGTTAAAGGCTGCGTTACACGATAACAAGTGAGGCAAGTGTCCCGGCTTACAGCAGCAGCAGCCTTCGTTGTCTTCATCTCCTTCTGTTATAGCTTCCACCTCTCTCTGCTGGCAATATGTCCCTTGGCAGCGAGAAAGAGAGAACGTGCCGGCAGTTACTGGGGGAGGAGGAAGCAAAGGCCTCCTTCCAAGCTAGGAAGGAATGAYTGAAGCCCCCAATCACTTGGCAAACATCTAATAAAAGGAGCTGCAGCAACGAATTGGATGTGCCAGCTGACCTGTGTGCAGCAGCAAAGCTGTAGCTCTACATTACGTATTTACTATCAGCTGTAAGAGTCAAAAGGGCCCACTCCCACATTCTAGGCATCCTAGTCTGAGCTGAGCTCCACCACGGGCCACAGCTTCTGCCTAAATAAAGACCAGGAAGCTACAGTAAAGRTTTTCTCTCCATCAGGCCTGTTTAAGCAAATTGCTCCAAATCCCAGTCTGCTTCTTCAAGTAACACACGGGAAGCAAACAAAGAATTTACAGTGTGTGTGAGCACTCACAAAATCTGGGTTTCAGCAAGCTTTGTTAGAAAACACATTCCAAAAATAACACCCTCTTCTCTTCTCTCAGAGCTACTCTGGATCACGCATCTCCAATGAGTAGCAATAGCAGTCGTACATCAAGAGGACAGAACAGCTTTCCAATAAGCCAGTTACAGGGACTCCAGCTCACAATAGAGTAAATCTTTCTGAAATGTTAACCTGAAAGGAAGTTATGAGGCAGATACAGAAATATCTGCCCTGCACACTCTGTACTTCTGGCAGGCACTGTGCACACTAGGTCATCAACCTCAGCTTTTCCGGATTTAAAATCTATGAATGTAATGTCAAAACCAGCTAGGGCCCTGCAAATCATAACCAGCAAGGACACCCATGAGCTCCCCACAGAGCTCTCAAAGCACACAGCTTGGGTSTCCTTCGTGCATAGATATCTTTAAAACTTGCTTTCTGTGCACTGCTGTACAAGTTCCTCTCCACTGAATTTCCACACAAGGCTTCTTCCAAGGCYACTCACTATGAGGGAAGCCACATACATCTTGCGTGGGCCTTCTGCCAACGGGCAAGCCTCACCCATGAGGGAGGTGGCCCAGGCAGCGTCCAAAGRGCCTCGACGGGACAGGTAGGGACGKGGCCAGCTACGGCCTTGCGGCCACTGGCAGCAGTTTGCAGCGGGACAGGGCTGAGCTCAACGCCAAGTCACAGCATCTACCARSAGGCTCAAGAGCAAGCCCTCCCCAGGCGGCTTCCTCACAAAGGGACCCGTGTTTGCACCCCCAGTGCAGCCTGCCTGTCATTTGGGGGGGAAGGTGTGACAAGCAGCTTGACTTTATCCACCAGGGAATGAGGGAACGTGCTGGAGAACATTCAAACTGTCTGTGCTTTTGCAGTCAAAAGGAAAAAAAAAAAAAAAAAGCCAAAAAACCCCACATGATTTAAAACACCTCTGAATTCCTCTGAGAATTTGATTGCTATACATTATGTAAACTAATCAACATCTATAAACCCTCCTGCCAAGATCGACAGGCCCGATCATTTGTGTCCGTGCAAATGACAGAACAATTTGGCTACACTCATCATCTAAACAGTAGGCAGAGAAAGAAAATAACAACAGGCCCAGCCCTCCTCAAAATGTGTCAGTATCCCAGAAGAGAACATGGAACAAGAAGCATCCGGATGGCCCTTTCTTTGGAGTATCAGGACAATCTCCTCATCGTAGATGGACTCTCCCCAGTCAATCAGAACTCTATGGGTCAACTTAAGAGCCTGTAACAACAAACTGAGGGCCCTTTGGCCTTACTGATGGAAGCAGCACCCATARTATTCCCCTTCCCACATTAAAAAAACCATTCCAAAACATAACAAAATATTTTAAACTACTCGGTATCAAGTTCTCTTTCTTCTCCATACACCTCTAAAATTTATCTAGAAAAAATACACAAAAGAAAGAAGAAGAATAAAAAAATCTGATGGAAATGTTTGAGAAAAAAAAAAAAAAAAAGGAGATTGTAGCCCTGAGAGTTGGGGGAAGAAGATCAATTACCTCCACTGTTCTCTGCTCAGTTTTCTGTTTACTGTGTGTAACCAGTGTTGTTCACAGACTGACATCGATTCCCTTCTTGGACAGCAGGGAAACACAATATAACAAATTAATAAATGTTTTCAAGTAACCTAAAAATAAAAGTTTTCCCCTTCAAGACTCCCACAAAATACAAGGCATGGCCTATCAAGCTGACATACCCACTAGAACTGAACACGGACTAGACTGCACTGCTTCTGCTTCATATTCCTCAGATTTCTACATGAATTAACACTTACTGCTCAACAGAAAAAAAAAAATCCCACACAGCAACTGCTCTGGGTCAGCAGATGCTTTTCTGAAGCCAAGTCAAAAGACATTGTACTCAAAATGAAGCAGGGAAAGGCATATTCCTTTGTACATGACTTATGTAGGGCTGGATGCTGAAAACAATAAAATAATCACTGGATGCTGGTGCTACTGCTGTTGTGCTTATTATTTGAAAGGTTACTGATCTCTCAGGATTAAACTGAATTTAGCARAAGATAAATCTTCTTTCCAAGTAGTAAATTTAGCACTAACAAATATTTTTAAGTGGAACATTGCCCCTTTTGTTGAAAAACACAGGTCTAATAAACAGCTGCCACTTACGCCCTTTTAACTAACAGAATTGAAGATGGGGTTTGCTCAGTTTACATATCCCTATTCTWACATTCATTTTTGATTGTGCACTGAAATCCAACATTTCACTGGCCCGATTTCTATGCACTCTTTGTATTATCTATATTACTATCTATATTGTTTCTAAGAATGCAGCAATTATTAATTTTCCTTAAGACAAAGGAATRTAACCTTTAAAGAAGCTAGCAAGGCGTGGAATAAGTGAATTCAAGAGATCCTTGGGAGAAGGCACCTGGAAGCTGTCCTCACAGGCATAACAAACAGTTGACAAAGCCAGAACGATCATTAGCATTCTCACCTAATTCAACAGCTAAACACTTCTCACAATTTAGACTAAAATTATACTCCAGCTATACACCATCAATACTGAACCTGCAGAGTAAGAGACATTCTAACCAGGACCAGATTAATACAAAAGCTCTGGGAACAAACCAAGGAGCTCATGTGGTCATTCTGCAAAATGATTTCAAGGAAGGAAATCAGGGCTGTGCTCTGTCAACATCTGGCAAACATGTGTCTGCTTAACAAAAGCTGTTTGATGGACTCAACTCTTATCACCCTGCCGATTTGGTTCCTTGGCTGCCTGCAGATCCCTTGTGGTTCAAGGTTCTTAGCTCCAAGGCATCAGTGATCTGAGCACTGGCCAGTGTTGTGTCAAAAAACTAAATCTCTATTTCATACCTTCAGTCCTCAGCTCTTTTGCTGATTAATATTTCCAGAAGACATTTAATAAGTAGATTCAAGTCGACAAAAACGAAGAGCTCAAGTGAGATGCTCAAGTACCTGTTAGTTCTCCCCCATTTCTTGCATTCAGTTCTAGAAAGAGTGCCAGTAATTTTCTCACATCTTGAACTGAACCCTATTGAGCTACACTTCAGGCCATAATGCCCTGGCTGGAMTTCAATGTCATAATTTCTCATGTTACTTAGAAACTGCATGTTACCAGTTCCTTCATCAATCTTCCTTTTTCATCTATTACTCTAGACACTAACACTACAAGGACTAAAAACATTTGCTCAGTTTTACAAATTAAGCCAAAATGGACAAGTTGTAGTGAATAAGGTTAAGCATTTGTATACATATTTTACAGATGATAACCCTACAATTTTGTATATACTGTATATACAGTGTAAACTGATGACCAAAATGCCAATTTTTATACTACTTCCCCAGAAATTATCAAGCTTAACCAATTCTAAGAGGATTATTCATAGAAAACAAAGAAGGGGGAGAACGTGCACTTGAATTATGCAATACAATTAAGTATAATGTCATTAAATATTAAAAGGTAGGAAGATGTTTTCACTGGTAATTAGTTATTTCAAAATCTAAAGCAGCAGCACTCTTTTTACATTTCTTTCTGCACTAGCAAGAAAATAAGCTCTCCCACTTCATTCAGCATTAGTCATTCACTGTGAACCTTGCTACTAGAGAGAAGACCGATCCATTTCTAACATATCTGACACTGGATGGCTGTCAAAAACCTATCAAYGCAAAACTGGTGCCAGCTCACAAAGCAAGGTCAGTCTGTGGAAGCTCAAGAGAAAACCAGTGTAAGAGCCCAGAACTCTTTCTATTTTCCTGACACATGGGGATGTGAGGACTCACTGGTGCTCTACCAGAATGATCTGACCTCAATGGAAATCAGAAAATTGAAACTGAACACCATAATCTCATTTCAAGAGGAGACATAAAACACACCTAACTTAAACAACCACCCAGACTTCTAAAATTTATGGCTGAAATCCAAGTATACTTCTGAATTGAATTTTGGAAACTCTGAGTGGCAGGAAATCACTTTTTGCTTCTCAAGGGCCAGACATAAAACTCCATGACAAAACAACACACTTCCAGGGCAGGTGCAGTTTTCATAAAACACTTGAGCTTCACAACACAGAGGGAAATGGAGATAATTTATTATGGCTAAAGGTAGGGAGGGTTTGAGCGCTCAAGACTGCTGACATATTAGCAGTTAGGGTGTATATGTGCTTAGAAAGGGCTCTTAGTATCATGCACTAATCAGGCACACATCGTAAACCATCCTCCCATAATGGGCATTTCAAGCTCTATACAAACTATATAACCCCAACTAGCAGCTTTGGACTAGGGGGTTTAAGTGGGTATCAGTCTGCAAGACAGTGCTGCCTGCAGATCCCTGGAGCTGTGAAGATGGAGTGAAATGTAAGATACTACCTCCTTTTATAAGCTATGCACCAGTCTCTTCACAACTGGCCCCTCAAAAGTGTCTGCTTGTTCACCATTTGTCTGCTAAATGTGAATATTTTTTAAACAAATGTGTTACATTCTGAAAACATCTAACGCAGCTCCATCAAACTCTGCTGCAAATCTGAGTATTCCAAATTCAGACAGAGCTCCT